CCTGCTTTCCGCTGTGTGGACGAGTGCCAGCGTGGCCGGGGCAGGTTTGCCCGTGTTGCTGGTTAACCACCCCGCGCCGGGCGCTCTGGCCAAGAGGAAACCTCGGCACTCGTCCTACCTGCTGGGTCGGCCGCCCGAGGCGGCACCGGCAGCGCGACCCACGGGCCGCTGCTCGACAGAGCTGCTTTACTGCTTTTGTAATGGCTGGGGGAAGTCTAAGCTTCCTGGGGTTTACATTTTGTCACTTATTCCATAGGTTTCCTGCAGAATCTAGGGTTTCCTTACTGGCCAAGGATACCTCTTTCTCTTAGGTGCTTCCTTGCTCCGATTCCGCAGGAGGTGAACATCTCGTCACCAATGCACCTCTGCTTCGGGGCCATCCTCAGCCTACAGCCCCTGCCATGTGCCCTAAACAGCTTTAATTTCATGACTTTTTCAATCTCCAGGATCCAGGGGTTATTTTAAATCCCTGCTGTGTTTGTCTGCAGATGCATTTGCACATCCACGCAGCCATCCGCATCCCGCTGCTCTCGGGAGGAGCTACCAAGTGCTCTGCAGTTCAATGAACACTAAACCTTAAGGGTTTGGCACATAACACCGGATCGGATGGCAGAGCTGAGGGGCTGGGGGAGTTCAGAGGGACATGGCTTGGGAACGACTCACTCGCTAAAGGTGAGGGCAAAAACCCCATTTATCTCTGTGCTGGACTACAAGGGAGGCCAAAGGAGGTTGGAGACCCGCACGGTTGGGCGGAAGAGCAGGGAGGAGAGGGCAGCTGCAGCCTAGAGCTGCGCTGGAGGCAGGAGGCAGCCCTGGCAGCCTGCACGTCACGAGGGTGACGATGCCGCAGGGCTCCAGCACGTCCTGCGAAGGGAGCGCTCCGGCACGGGGAGGTGGCCCCACCGTGCCAGCCGTGTCACTGCACAGGAAAGGCGCCGTAAACGGAGCTCTGTGTTGTCCTCACAGCCAAGGAAGGAGGAAGGAGCTCGGGGAACGGGGAACTGGGTTCGAATGGCCCTAATGGTGGAGGCAGCAGCTCTCCTCCTGGGTGACAAACCCTGGCCGGCTTCACACGCATGGGAGAAGCTGCAGTCGCTGGCGGAATTCCTGCCCGTGCCACGGCAGCTCGTGCTTACCTTTAAAGGACTGGGAAAGAGCTTAGGCAGAGGGGAAAAAAAACGGGAAGGAGAGGTTTGAAAATCCATTCGGAAGCAGTAAGTTTGCTGCTTGGCGCCCTGCATGCCTCTAGCCAGGGCCTGTTTGCCTATTCTGGGGCACAGGGAACGGGAGCGGCGCCAGGCTGCTCCGTTTGCTGCCTCCCAGCACGGGACCAGCACCAGGACACAGACAGGAGCCCCCGCTGCCTGCGCCCGGCTCCGAGGAGCCTGAGGAGCCCGAGCTGCCCGGATTAGGTCTCAGCAGCTGGAGACTGCAGTGGGACCTTTATTCAGGGTTAAGAGGCATTAGGAAGGGATGATAAGAGTTAATCCCAGACGGGCATCTTCCAGGACTCCGGAAATCACATCCTTTCAAATCCCAACCCCGTCGGGGAGGGAGGGCCAAGGGCAGGGGAAGGAAGCGGAGGAGCGAGCGGCCCCGGGGGAGCCAACAGGTTTTTGCAGGGCCCGGCCGTCTCCTCGGGCTGCTTTAAGCCACACGTTGCAGGGCCAGGTACCCGGTTCTCCTCGCCGTGTCCCGCTCTGACCCGGACTACCCTGCTCTCACCCTTTGCTTATTCATTACGAAATTACCCCGTCTCCACGGGCCTGGCCTGTGCCCTCCTCCCGCTCCCTCGCCCCATCGTGCCAGCCCCGCGTCCCTGCCACGCGTCCCACCCCTGCGCCGACCCGGTACCGGCGGCAGCCGCCAGTGCCCATCCCGTCCCCAGCGCAGGGACCGGCTCCTGCCAGCAGCAAGATCAGGGGAGCGATAGGCGCCCGCGCCGGTTAATAATTAATAGGCGGTGCGGAGTGTCCTTTTTTGCAGCGACACTCCTTTGGGCGCGGGCTCCACCTGCGTGCCCGGCTCAGCCCCCGCTGCCGCAGGGACGGGATGAGCAGGGCAGAGGCCTCCGCAGACGCAGGGAGCCCGGGCCGCCCCGCTCACCGTTACTGTGGTTGCCCGTCTGCAGCGACGCCGGCGGCTGCAGGCTGCCGCCCAGGGAGCCGTAGCCGCGGTAGCTGTAGTTCAGACTTCCATTGATGTAGACTGGATCTTGGGAGTAAGATGAAGCTGGCAGTGAGTAGGAGGAGTGGGTGATGGCCGTGGAGTCTCTGGAGTGCTGCTTGTCCAGAGCGATGGGCTCGTCCTGCACGGGAGGCAAAGGGACGCCCTGCAGCGCGCGGCCCCCGCGGGCAGCACCGTGCCCCACGGAGCTGCAGCTGTGGGTGCCCTGCGGGGCCCTTCCCGAGGCTGCTGCTTT